GGCATGGAGAAATTGAGGAAAAAAAATGCACCAGGAATCTCAGTATCATTAGCAACCTCCGAAAGCTGCCACAGTGCCACCACATCCAAGGGTAATACAAGAGATGGCAGGAGTAATAGCAAATGCACTCATGGTAATTTTCCAAAATAATTCACTGGACTCTGGGGCAGTTCCAGCAGATTCGTTGTTTTCCAAAGTGACGCCCCTGTTTATAAAAGGAGGTAGACAAAAGATGGGCAATTATAGGCTGGTTAGCTTAAGGTTTGTAGTGAGGAAAATGCTTGAATCTATCAAGGAAGTAATAGCAAGACATCTGGATAGAAATTGTCCCATTGGGTGGATGCAGCATGGGTTCATGAATGACTAATTTGCTGGAATTCTGGGAAGACATTATGAGCACAATAGAGAATAGGGACCCAGTAGACATGGTGCATCTAGATTTCCAAAAAGCATTCAACAAGGTGTTGCACAAAAGGCTGCTGCATGGTGTTACAGGCAATGTATTAGCACAGACAGACGATTAGTTAACTAACAGGAAGTTAAAAAAAGTGGGGATAAATGAGTGCTTTTCTGGTTGGTGAACAGTGACTAGCGTTGTGCCTCAGGGATCAGCACTGAGACCGTAATTGTTTATAATTTACGATTATTTGATGATTTTGAGATGGGGACCATGTGTAGTGTGTCAAAGTTTGTGGATGACACTAAGATGAATGGTAAAGCAAAATGTGCAAAGGACTCAAAGTTTGGAGAGGGATAGAGATTGTTTAAGTGAGTTGGAGAAGGTTTGGCAGATGGAATTCAATGTCGGTAACCGTGAAGTCATCCACTTTGGTAGGAATAACAGTAAAAGGAACTATTACTTGAACGGTAAAAACTTGCAACATGCGGCCATGCAGAGGGACCTGGGTGTCCTTGCGCATAAATCGCAGAAGGTTGCTTTGCGGGTACAATAGGTATTAAGGAGGTAAATAGAATTTTGCCCTTCATTACAAAAGGGATTGAGTTTAAAGCAGGGACGTTATGTTGCAGCTGTATAGGGTGCTGGTAAGGCCACACCTAGAGTACTGCGTACAGTTTTGGTCTCCTTATTTACGGTAGGATGTACTGGCACTGGAGGGGGTGCAGAGGAGATTCACTAGGTTGATTCCGGAGTTGAGAGAGTTGGCTTATGAGGAGAGACTGAATAGACTGGGATTATACGGATTTGAATTTAGAGGAATGATGGGGGATCTTACGGAAAAATATAAAATTATGAAGGGAATAGAAAATAGAAGCAGGGAGGTTGTTTCCACTGCCAGGTGAAACTAGATCAAGAGGGCATAGCCTCAAAATTAGAGGGATCAGATTCAGAACTGAGCTGAGGAAGAACTTCTTCACCCAAAAGGTTGTGAATCTGTGCAATTCCCTGCCCAGTGAAGTAGTTGAGGCTTCTTCGTTAAATGTTTTTAAAGCTAAGATAGATCATTTTTTGAATAGTAAAGGAATTAAGGGTTATGGTGAGAGGGTGGGTAAGTGGAACTGAGGTCACGAAAAGATCAGCCATGATCTTATTGAATGGCAGAGCAGGCTCAAAGGGCCAGATGGCTTATTCCTGCTCCTGGTTCTTATGTTCTTATGTTCACATCCTCCAAATGAACAATGTCCCATGCCACCAGAGTCTGTGGATATCCGTGGACACTGTCACAGAACTGTGTCGCTTTCTGGAGCTAGACGCGAAACCCGAAAAATAGGAGTGCCTAGTCATTCTATCCTGATGGCTGTCAAGATGGCTGTGTTTATGCAATTGGCTGTTTCCAAGGAGTTAGTGGGGGCCTGTGTGCGATCTCTTGAGCCTCAAGCCAGAAATATCTGAAGGTTGTTATGGATACAACTTCCTTGTTTCCCTGTGACAACATCAGAGCTGCAGCCTCAGCAGTTGGCTTTGCCTTCCTTTAGATGCAGAGTGCTATGGACCGTACACAAGTCATGTTGACAGCACCATATCATAACACAGCTAAGTTCAGCAGTAGGTTAGGGTTCCATTTGGTCAATGTACAAGCCATCTATGATCATTAGTACCACATTTTAGAAGTTTGTAGATTCCTCAGAAGCTGTCATGATGCCTATAACCTTTTACTCACTTGTGATAACTTCAAGGGCTCTATACCTTAGAAAGACGGTGAGCGGCAGACAATGGTTCCCCTCTGCGACCATGGCTGATGACTCCAGTAGTTAATCCCCTAATGGGGGCCATGCATTCACCCATTCTTCAATCAGAGCCGGAATGGAGCACATGATAGGGCTACTGAAGGTGTGCTTTCAATGCTTGGATCAATTCTTGGGGATTCAGGGGCATTTTGGAGGGGTGGGTGGGGAATGAGGTTAAAGGGAGATGGTTCTGAAGTCAAGTCCACACAAAGTTTGCTGCATAAGCCAAGCATGCTGCTCTCTGCACAACTGAAGCAGGCCAAAAAAAAAGATGCGATGGATGCTAAAAAGAGGTGGGAGAGTGGCAGCACATTTCAAAACGAGGAAGAAACAGACAGATATTGAGCAGGAGAAACATTACCTTCAGCATAATGGAATGGTACAGCAGTCACAACAAGCCAGATAGGACTTAATTGACATTTGCTTCTAATACATGTGAGAGTTTGGGGATTGTAAATTCATTGACCATAAATTTATGGTTCGAAAGACAGGCAGCCACTGCTTATTTCTGGAAGAAAATACAGCGTTTTGTTTTGTTTTGTTTCTGTTGTCACTTTTCTTGTTATTCAGTAAAAGTTAACAACTGTTTGAAGGCTTTATGTCTAAATTGCATTAAAAATTACAAAAATGTTATGCTATGTTGGGAGCTCAGGAAAAGTACAGAGACTTCAAACAGTTTCTAACAAGTGCTCAGGATCAGTAGCGTCATTCTTGTACTTGCAGTTACTATGAGAGACAGGAGATGATTTAAAGAGATAAAATATTTACAAGTGAGAGATTGTATTGTCAATGAAGTGACACATGTGCAATCATGTGCCCTCAGGAGCTTTTCCTTGTTGCTCTTCCACGATGTGTACTAGGAAGAGTTATTGGTGGCTGGCAGCATTTGACCTGGTACAAAACTAAACTTTACATATGGCACCGATAACACTATTCCTGGCAGGTTCCAGCACCAGAATAGTTCTGCCACTGGTGAGCACACTGGGAAGTGTATACATGATGAGGTGAGCAGCAGAGAATAACACAAGATATCTTACAAGAGCTCAGAGACAGAAACCCCCCATGACATTCCCCAAAATTAGTCAATTTTGCTAAAATACAGCACCCCCTTCCAGAACCAACTCAAAAGGATTAATGAGGTAAGATTTTAATCTTCAAGATTTGTGCTATAATAAACCAACTAAATAATGCTTAGTACACAAATAATAACTAAAGTACAGGAAAGACAACACCCCTTTATGATTTAATATGGGAAAATCCCAAGCCACAGTTGTATTTCCCTGTCTGCAATCCAAAGAATTGCAGAACCAGCACAACATTACTCCCAGCTTCCAATAGGTTCACTTTTCTCATTTTGCTAAGTCATAACATCGAGTCAATATCAATTGGCATTAATGACCTTTTAATACAGTATCAGCGCCAGTGATGTTAATCGACTGCGTGATCTTTGAGTGATGAGTTGCTTCGGGAGAGGCGCATGGTAAAATGGAATGGAAATCAGAAATGAACACGTGACACTCACCATGAAGGCTGAAACACAAATTGACGTGACAAGTTTATAGAGTCATGGAGATGTACAGCATGGAAACAGAACCCTTGGTCCAACTTGCCTGTACTGACCAGATATCCTAAATTAATTTAGTCCCATTTGCCAACATTTGTCCCATATCCCTTTAAACCCTTCCTATTCATATACCCATTCAGATGCCTTTTAGATGTTGTAATTCTACCAGCCGCCACCAGTTCCTCTGGCAGCTCATTCCATACTGCCTATGTGAAAAAAAGTTGCCATTAGGTCCATCTTAAATCTTTCCCCTCTGACCTTAAACCTATGCCGTCCAGTTTTGGACTGCCCCACCACAGGGAGAAGACTTTATCTATTCACCCTATCCATGGCCCTCACGATTTAATAAACCCCTATAAAAGGTCACCTTGCAGCTTCCAATGCTCCAGGGAAAATAACTCCAGCCTATTCAGCCTCTCCCTAAAGCTCAAACCCTCCAACCCTTGCAGCATCCTTGTAGATCTTTTCTGAACCCTTTCAAGTTTCACAACATCCTTCCTATAGCAGGGGGACCAGAATCGCACACATTGTTCCAAAAAATGACCCACCAATGTCCCATACAGCCACAACATGACCTCCCAACTCCTACACTCAATGCACTGACCAATAAGGCAAGCATTCCAAGTGCCTTCTTTACTATCCTGTCTACCTGCGACTCCAGATTCATAGTTCCTTGAAAGTGTACTGCATGGTCTCTTTGTTCAGCAACACTCCCCAGGAACTTACCATTAAGTGTATAAATCTTGCCCTGATTTGCCTTTCCAAAATGCAGTACCTCACATTTATCCAAATTAGTCTTGATCTGCCACTCCTCGGCCCATTTGACCATCTGATCAAGGTCCTGTTGTAATCGGAGGTAACCATCTTCGCTGTCCACTACACCTCCAATTTTAGTGTCATCTGTAAACTTACTAATTATACCTCCTTTGTTCAAATCCAAATCATTTACAAAAATGACAAAAAGCAGTTGACCCAACACCGATCCTTGTGGCACACTGCTGGTCACAGGCCTCCAATCTGAAAAGCAATCCTGCACTACCACCCTCTGTCTTCTACCTTCAAGCCAGTTCTGTATCCAAATGGCGATTCCTCCCTGTATTCCATGTGATCTAACCTTACTGATTAGTCTATCACAAGGAACCTTGCCGAATGCCTTACTGAAGTTCACATAGATCACATCCACCCCTATGCCCTCAATCCTCTTTAATACTTCAACAAAAAAAAAAAAAAAAAAGTTTGAGATACTTGCCCATCACCGATGTCAGGCTCACCGGTCTATAGTTTCCTGGAATTTCCTTGCAACTTTCGTAAATAGCGGCACCACGTCGGCCAACCTCCAGTTTTCCAGCACCTTACCTGTGGCTATTGATGAAACAAATATCTTGGTAAGGGACCCAGCAATCACTTCCTTATCTTCCCACAGAGTTCTAGGGTACACCTGATCAGGTCCTGGGGTTTTATCCTCCTCTATACATTTTAAGACATCTAGCACCTCCATCTCTGTAACATGGACATGTTTGGTAAGATACAGCAAGACAACTCGCTCAGTGAGAATCACTCTATCAAACTCAACGTAATGCACACTTAGCCAAAATTCGATCTACAAATGCCTCAAAAGTACCTACAAATTGTTCAAAGCCAATTTCAACCAGGTATAATTTTGCTAACACATGAAGTTAAAATATTCACTATCTAAATGATATGAAAAACATGTTTGCTTTTATTCAAACAAAATATAATTAGGAATCTATATTAGGACTCTACTTGTTGTTCCCATGTCATTCAGTGTCTAAAAAGAAACATACAGAGCAGAATTTCTGACTCCAGAACAGAACACTCAGTTCACTGTCTTCCTGTCTCAGTTTAATAAACCCAAGAGGCACAGAAACAAATGGATTATCAAAGCAATACAAGGTATGCTCCTGGAAACCATGGGGAAAACAAGAATCCACAAGGTGATGCTGGGTAAGGAAATGGGCAGATATGACAAATATAAATCCAAGTCAGTAAACACCAAATTCTCTTCTTATTTCCCCACCCCCCGAAATGCGAGTTTATCCAAAAAAATAGCCCAGGGTGAAAGTGTAAAATACATAAAAGAAATATGGACCCTTACTTGGGAATTCAGAGTACTGAGGGATTTAGAGAAAAGAGGCAGTAAATTGGAATTAAACAGTTTCAATAGCAACTGATTTACATAAGCAACGGAGCAAGCCAGACAGGTTAACTTCATATTTCCAATTGATAATTATCTCAAAAGGATTGCTGAACACATAGGAATGCAGCAATACAGATCTTTCGCGTTACATGTTCAGTTAGTCTAGTTAGGAGAGATTATGGAATGTTCTGTATATTTTAATATTAACACGTTCATTAATATTAAAGGAACTATATATAGCTTTACAGGACCAGGATTAACTCCGTTGAATTTACGGTGGCTCTCTGGATCTCTCACTCAAGGATCACTTAGACTACAACAGAAGGTCCTGCTCCAGACATTAACCCTTTCAAACTACACTTGAGGCAGAATCATAACCAGAAAGGCAAAGACATTGAAAAAGGTTAAATGAAGTTCTAGAATTAACACAGGCACACAGAAACAAGGTTGACAAGATCATGGTTGACTTTGTTTTAATGTTGTAATTGAAAATAGTTTTCACTAAAGTATTGCTGTACTATTAAAAAGAACTGGAACACTGGGGCTTACGAACATCAGATTCAAATCAATAGCCTATGAAGATTTCAGTAAGGTCTTTGATAAGATTCCACATAGTAGGCTGCTCTGGAAAGGTTAGATTGTATGGAATCCAGGCTGGGCTGGCAAATTGGATATGCAATTGCCTTGATGGAAGCAAAGGGTAAAAGTGGAAGGATGCTTGTCAGACAGGAGGCCTGTGGTGGTGCTGGGCCCATTTCTGTCTGTTATGATTTTGATAAGAATGTACAAAGCATGATCAGTAAGTTTGCAATTGACACTGAAGTAGGTGGTATCATGGACAACGAGGAAGGTTATCACAAATTGCACCAGGTTCTTTTTTTCAGCTACGGAAGTGGGCTGGAAATGGCAAATGGAGTTTCATGTAGAGAAGTCTGAGGTGTTGCATTTTGGGAAGTCAAACCAAGTTAGGAGTTTCGTCGTGAATCGTAAGGGTTTAAAGAGCATCTGGAACAGAGGGACATTGGAGTTCAGGTGCACAGTTCTCTGAAAGTGGAGACGTAGGCAGACAGGGCAGTGAAGGTGGCTTTTGGCACACTGGCCTTCATCAGTCAGGGCATGGACTATAAAAGTTGGGAAGTTATGTTGCAGTTGTACAGGATGTTGGGCGAGGCCTCACTTGGAGTACTGTATTTAGTTTTGGTCACCCTACTATAGGAAGCAGGTTATTAAACTGGAAAGAGTGTAGAAGAAATTTACAAAGATGTTGCCAGGACTCAAGGGACTGAGTTATAGGGAGAGGTTGGAGAAGCTAGGACTTTTTTCTTTAGAGCGTAGGAGACTGAAGGGGGGAATCTTATAGATGTGTATAAGATCATGAGAGGGATAGATAAGGTGAATGCACTCAGTCTTTTTCCTAGGGTTGGAGAATCAAGGGCTAGAGGGCATCAGTTTAAGGTAAAAGGGGAAAGAATAAATGGTAACCTGAGGGGCAACTTTTTTTTTGTTACACAGAGGGTGGTACACATATGGAATGATCTGCATTTTGGGCAGCATGAACCCGTTTAGGCCAAAGGGCCTGTCTCCGTGCTGCAGGACTCTAAGACTAGCTGTCAACCCAAGAAAGCATTCGATTGTATGTATGGAAACATAATGTCACTTTCAATCCTCCACTGTAGTATATTGCCCAATGTGGCTCAGCTAGTAACATATTGACCTGACTCGGAAAATTGCAGATACAAGTTTTAATCTAGAGATTTGGATCATATCCTTAAACACTTCCATTACAATACTGCAGGAAACAGCACGATGCTGGAAGAAATACCATCTTTTGAAGAAAACAGTGACTCTTTCAAACTGGAACTCGTCAGTTTACAGCTGCTTGGACAGATCAAGGAAACTGCAGTTCTTCTTTGAGCAGAAAAAGTTGATGATATTTGATAGTTTTACAAAATTATGAAAGACCAAGCAAATGAAGAGAACCCATTTCCAATGGCTGAATGTTCACTAACAAGTTAGGCAAGAAATGAGCTCATGTGGTTCAGTGGTAGCCTCTGGTTATGGACCAGAGCAAACCCCCTCAAAATATATTAAAGATGATTACCCAGAGCCCAACTTTTTTTTATTGTTAAAGGCAAATAAAGGCATCATGTTCCAGATGCAATGTGATTGATCAAGCTACCAGGCTTAAAGCAAAACACACTTTATTTTATACAATAGTTAAAATACAAACAGAAGAAAGAAGAATTGTAATAATTTTACTCTGATGGAAAACTTAACAGAATATTGAACTGCCAAACAGCAACTGTTTCAATATAGAAATGTTTCATAAGCACACCCCTCGGCAAAGGCAAATTACATAGAATAAATTTTCTCACATGCAATTCTAGCAGCAGGAAGAAAACCCAAACTTTTAGCTGGAACTGAGAGGAATAAGAGCTTCTACATTTGGCTTCCAGACCCCAACAACTACTGAAAGCTGAAACTAATGTCCTAGTTCTGTGGAAGTTTGACCCCCAGCCCTCCATGCTGCTTCTATTGTTCCAACTTCAAGAAAAAAAAACAAAAAGATAGCTGGGCTTGGAGCAGAGAGCTTGGCTCCAAATTTATAACACTTGCTTTCAAAAAGAAACAAGACAGAACAAATCCTCCTTAAAATGCACATTTCAGAACAGTCCCTACCTCTGAACCAGGAGACCTGGGTCCAAGTCCCACCAGCTTGACAGCTTATGTAATATCATCTCTGAGCATGTCAATTAGAAAATATCAAACCAGTCACGTGGAATCTCTTACCGTGCAGTGGTAGCATAGTTACCTTTAAGCCAGTAACCCAGGTTCATGTCCTACCTGTTCCACAGGAGTGCAGTAACATCTCTGGACAGAATGATTAGAAAATACCTAACCACATGTGGGTTTATCCTCCAGCAGGGTCCACCTACCTGATGTGGCAATGCTTATGTTATCCCTCGTGATACAAGAAACTAAGCATGGATAAAATGCTTTGAAAAGGTCCAGATATTTATTACAGCAGCTAGTACATACAAACATTACATTTACAAGCACATCATTGTCTGGACTAGCATTAATCCATTCGCAAGTAATCCCCAGTAAGATGGTTTCAGAGACCTTTATACTTTCCAGACTAATGTTATGATACAATGATGGTTGCATAAGTATATCTCTGAAAAGACAACCACGAGACACAACATGAACAACCACAGGGTACAGATTTAAGCTAAATGAACAAAAGAAAAATAAACAAGAAGGATAAAACTTTTGTTTTGTTTATGCACAGCCTGTTAGGATGATGGATTCAGATTCAACAGCTTTCAAAAAAGGTAATACCATCAATACTTGAAGGAGAGAAAAAAGTACTGCAGGGTCTGGAGCAAGAGCAAAGTAACAGAATTGAAAGAGCGGGGCCAGGCTGAATGGGCCGAACGATAGCCATGCTGTGCTGTTCAATAAATCAGCTAACAGTGGCTAGTCCCAGGGGCTCAATGCTTCCTAAATTATCACAAGCTGCATCTCGGATAATGAGCAATTCCCATTTTGTTGATGAATGGTATATAGGTGATGCCTACTGACAGTGACACATGTTTGGAACAAAGACCAGCTATAATCATCTAAGAATGCTCTCTCCCACCCACTTATGTATAGCATTTAAGTAGTTCAGAAATATCGTTCAGCAGCAAGAGACTAGACTTATCGCTCACTACAATTGCAGTGTCACCCTGTAACAGTAACTAATAGAAAACGGTCATTTCCAAGAAATGAATGTAATATTGTACAGGTTAAAATTGAGAGTTACTTTACATAAATTAGTGTTTGAATCTTCAGTGGAGGAAGACCAAGGTATAATGCTGATACAGAGCATTGGTCCTCTGCTGTGAAGTGTGGCTCCGAAGCCACAAACTCCAACTGTAAACTAAAACAGTTTCAGGTCAAATCAATTAATTTGCTATTTGCAGGACACATTTGCCATGATCTTGGTCAGAACATTCAGCTGCAAATGAGTGGCTTTCAGTTAAAGAAATTTTGTTTTTTCACCTGGGAACCAAAACTAATGTTCAAATATAAAAACAACCCAGCAAGTCATGAAATCAAAAGTTTCAAAGTTCGACCCTCAATCCATTTGGAGTTGCATATGTTGAGTCCCATATTTTAAACAGCATGCTGTCACTCAACATTTAGAAACAGGTGGAAA